CCCGCCGAATCGTTCCATCGCCTTCCGCTCGCGAATCCGACCTTTGATCCCTCGGTATAACTCCTTGGCGTTTTGCGCCGATGACTGCGGGCAATGGTATATCGACGAATGTGCCGTCGATGTCCCTCCTGGCCAAAAACAATAAATGCATTTCCCACGCACCACCTCCAAATACCCTCGAATCTCTTCCATCATACGGCGACTCTCTTGCTTCTGCCTCTGCCACCCTCGACTGATGTGCTGTTGTTGACCCTGTTGCCGACGAAACTCCTGACCATCTTCCCATGTGGCCTCCACCCCTCGTTTTCTCGCCCTCGCCTCTTGATATCCTTCCCCCTCGCTCCCGCCCTCGCTCTCGCTCTCACACTCGCTACTATTGTCGTCGTCGCTGTCGTCGGTCTCCTTCGTCTCTTCCTCATCACTCTCGCGGATCTTCTCCCCGGTGTCCTCTCCTTCGGCTTCGTTGCTCTCTTCGAACTCTCCCTCCCGACAACATCCTTGACATGCCTCCTCGTCACTCCCACACCCCTCGCGCTGAACGTTCCCATCCATAAATCCGTCCATCACCTCTCGCTGACACCGTGCTTCCATGAAATCCCACACCTGCCGTCGTGCCACCTCGTCCACCTTCTGGTCGCGGGGTTGCCATGACGGCCGGCAATGTCGACCCGCCCCGGCCGGCAATACGATGATCGCCTCGCTCTTCTGCCCATCTCGTCCCGCTCGACCACTTTCTTGCCCGTAATCCAATAATGACCGCGGCTCGTCGACGTGAATGATCACCCGGATGTCACGGATGTCGACCCCCATGCCGAATGCGCTCGTACTGACGATCATGGACTGCTCGCCGGATTGAAACGCTTCCATCTTGATGTCCTTGTCGGTGGCGTGGTGGTGGTATGCATCACACTGTAACAACGCCGCCAACGCCTTGGTCTGCGGCACCGTTGCACAATACACCACCGCCTTGCCGGGGGAATGTCGTTGCACCTGCTGGCGAATAAAATCCGCCATCGCCTCCGTCGATGCCGACACGTCCTCGGGCTCGCCTGGAACGCCGACACCGGTCTTCGGCTGCGGGCCCGTCCCCTTCCTCCTC